ATTGATGGTCCTTGTTCACCCAATTTGCTTAAAAAATCAAAATTCAAGAAACCCCCAAATCAATTTTGAAAGTTAGGGTTTGAGAAAATTTTGGTACTTTGGGGTTTTGATGGTGAAAAGGGGTAGTAATTTGTGAAGAAGGTTGAAAGAGGAGTGAAAATTGTAGATTATAGTTGGGATTTAAGTGAAAAATGGAGTTTGAAGAGTGAGAAATAGGAAGTATGGAGTTTGAAGGAATAGTATGAAGTATGGAGTATGGAGGATGAAGGAGAATTTGAGTATGAAAGAGGAGTGAGAATTGTGAGTATGGGGGGGGGTCTTTGCTATTATAATTTTTTTTATTTTATTGTTATTTTATTTTTTTATTTTTTTTTAGTAAGAAACCGTCATATTGTTGTGCAGGCTGAATCTGCACGGACGTGCAGATTTTGGCACGGACGTGCAGATTCCTGGCAGAATGGCAATCTGTTCTGTCTTCGAGCGCACGGACGTGCAGTAGTTGGCACGGACGTGCGAACCTTCAGATTTCACTAGTCAGGTTCTGCCTTCGTCTGCACGGACATGCGATGTTCTGCACGTTCGTGCAGACCTGATGGTGCACGATTTCTTCTTCTTTCCCCTTTTTTTTTTTTATTTATAGAAACCTACAAAAAATATATATATATATATAAGTAAAAGAAAAAAAAAAGGGATAAAAATAATAATAAAACAAATGAAATAATAATAATTGAGGGGGAGTGAGGAATTCGGGTTGCCTCCCGGTAGCGCTTCTTTAACGTCACTAGCTTGACGACATTGCGGGATCAAATGTTAGTGAGGAATATCGAACTCATCAAGGTGAACAACTTTTGCCTCTTCATTCAAAAAAACATCAAAGTACGCTTTTAGCCTTTGGCCATTTACTTTGAACGGTTCACCATTCTCTTTGGCAATTTCGATTGCACCATATGGGAACACCTTCTTGACGGTAAAAGGTCCACTCCATCTTGATTTTAGCTTACCCGGAAACAACTTCAACCGGGAATTGAATAGTAGGACCTTGTCACCTTCCTTGAACTCTCTTTTGTTGATATGCTTGTCATGCCAAGCCTTGGTCTTTTCCTTGTAGATCCGTGCATTCTCATATGCATCCAATCTTAGCTCTTCCAAGGCATGGAGGTCAAGTAACCTCTTTTCACCGGCACTTTGAAGGTCAAAGTTCAACATTTTAATAGCCCAATGAGCACGATGCTCAAGTTCTACCGGTAAATGGCATGATTTCCCATATACTAGCTTATAAGGGGTGGTGCCAATGGGAGTCTTGAATGCGGTGCGGTAGGCCCATAGAGCATCATCTAGCTTCGTAGACCAATCCTTTCTAGACCTATCCACCGTCTTCTCTAAGATAACCTTTATCTCCCGGTTTGAAATTTCGGCTTGACCACTTGTTTGAGGGTGGTAAGCCAATGACACCTTGTGCCTCACACCGTACTTCTGAAGAAGAGCTTGGAAGGACCGCTTTGCAAAATGCGAACCTCCATCACTAATGACGGCACGTGGCACCCCAAACCTCGGAAAAATGACCTTCTTGAAGAGTTTGACCACCACCTTAGCATCATTAGTAGGAGATGCAACCGCTTCTACCCACTTTGACACGTAATCGACGGCCACAAGAATGAATTTATTCCCAAAAGAGGTTGGGAAAGGCCCCATAAAATCTATGCCCCATACATCAAAAATCTCCAACTCAAGAATGTTGTTCAATGGCATTTCACTTCTTCTTGAAATATTGCCGGTTCTTTGACACCGGTCACAAGCTTTCACTACACCCCACACATCTTTGAACATGGAAGGCCAATAGAAACCACATTGTAAGATCTTTGCCAAAGTTTTGTTAGCACTCATATGTCCTCCACAAGGTGATGAGTGACACATTGTGATAACACTTTCGATTTCATCATCCGGGACACACCTTCTAAAAAGGCCATCAACACCTTGTTTAAAGAGCAAGGGGTCGTCCCAAAAGTATTGGCGAATATCATGAAGAAACTTCCTTTTTTGTTGATAGGTGAGGTCAGGAGGAAGAATAGAGCAAGACAAGTAGTTTGCAATGTCCGCAAACCATGGTGCCGGTACTTGAAGGATAGCAAATAGTCGATCATCCGGAAATGAATCATCAATTGGCAAGTTATCAAGATCACCTACAAAGATAGGCAACCGTGAAAGATGATCGGCCACAACATTTTCGGCACCCTTCTTGTCTCTAATCTCAATATCATAATCTTGCAAGAGCAAGACCCACCGTATCAATCTTGGCTTAGGTTCCTTCTTAGACAAGAGGTACTTCAAGGCCGCATGGTCGGTGAAAACTATGACCTTAGAGCCCAACAAGTAGGACCTAAACTTCTCAATTGCATGAACAATGGCTAGAAACTCCTTTTCCGTGGTTGTGTAATTCCTTTGTGCCTCATCCAATGTTTTGCTAGTATAATAGATAGCATGGAGCTTCTTGTCCTTCCTTTGTCCAAGAACAGACCCAACGGCGAAATCCGAAGCATCACACATAAGCTCGAAAGGAAGTTCCCAATTAGGGGGTTGAATTATAGGAGCCGAAATCAAGGCTTCCTTCAACCTATCAAATGCTAGCTGACAATCATTAGTAAACACAAAAGGTGCATCTTTTACCAACAATTGAGTGAGCGGCTTTGCGATTTTTGAAAAATCCTTTATGAACCGGCGGTAAAAACCCGCATGTCCAAGAAAGCTCCTTATCCCCTTCACATTTTTAGGGGGTGGGAGGCGCTCAATTACTTCAATCTTGGCACGATCTACCTCAATGCCCCTACTAGAAATCACATGACCAAGAACAATTCCCTCCTCTACCATGAAATGACATTTCTCCCAATTCAAAACTAAGTTCACCTCTTGACATCTTTTTAATACTTTAATCAAGTTTGAAAGACAAGTGTCAAAAGATGAACCAAAAACAGAAAAGTCATCCATGAATACCTCAATTGATGATTCAAGCATGTCGGAAAAAATAGACATCATACACCTTTGAAATGTGGAAGGTGCATTACAAAGCCCAAATGGCATTCTTCGATATGCGAAGGTGCCAAAAGGACATGTGAATGTAGTCTTTTCTTGGTCCTCGGGGTGGATTGGAATTTGAAAGAATCCCGAGTATCCATCCAAGAAGCAATAATGACTATGTGATGCTAGTCTTTCCAATATTTGATCAATGAAGGGGAGTGGGAAGTGGTCTTTCCGGGTGGATTTATTCAATTTTCGATAATCAATGCACATCTTCCACCCGGTGATCGACCTCGTAGAAATGGTCTCACCCTTATCATTTTTGATGATGGTCATGCCTCCCTTTTTAGGCACAACTTGAACCGGGCTAACCCACTTACTATCGGAGATAGGATAGATTATGCCCGCCTCAAGAAGTTTTAAAACTTCCTTTTTTACCACTTCCTTCATATTGGGATTGAGCCTTCTTTGGTGCTCAATCGAGGAAGCATGATCATCATCAAGTAGAATTTTATGCATGCATATGGTGGGACTTATCCCCTTAATGTCATCAATTTTGTACCCAATGACATCTCTAAACTTCCTTAAAACAACTAGGAGTTTCTCAAGAGAGGTGTCATCGAGCTTAGCATTGACAATAACGGGATAATTCTCACTATCATCAAGAAAAGCATATTTAAGTAGAGGGGGAAGGGGTTTAAGTTCAACCTTAGGAGGAGGCGTAGTCCACTCCTCTTTTGCCTCCACGTTAAGCACTTCAAATTTTATCATCTCGTGGGCCAAAGGTTGGTTGAGCAAGAGATCATACCCCTTTGCTTCTTCACCCTCCTCAACAAAGCTTCCCGTTAGGGTAGCTTGTAAAGGATCTCTTTCATACAATCTTTCTCGGAACTCTTCTAAGTCCCTCTCCAATGTGTCAATTCTATGAACTTCATCAATCAATGACTTTTTTAAAGTTTGTGAGAATGAAAATGAAATTTTCTCATCTCCCACATTTAAAGTCAATCTTCCTTCCTTCATATCAATCACCACTCCCGCGGTGTTCAAAAATGGTCTCCCCAAAATGAGGGGTACTCTTGAATCTTCTTCCATCTCCATTACTACAAAATCACACGGCACAAATACTCTTCCAACTTGAACTGGCACATCTTCAAGAATCCCCAAAGGTAGCCTAACCGTGCGGTCGGCTAGTTGTAAGGACATTCTTGTTGGTTTCAAGTCTCCAACTTTCAAGGTCTTTGCAATAGAATAGGGCATCAAGCTCACACTTGCCCCAAGATCACATAAAGCATCCATAGCTTCCAAATCTCCAATCTTCACCGGTATTGCATAGCTACCGGGGTCACCAAGCTTTTGGGGAAGCTTGTTTTGGATGATTGCACTCACCTCCTTAGGAAGGGAGATGGTTGCACTCTCTTCAAGCCTACTCTTGTTGGATAGAAGATCCTTCAAAAATTTTGCATAGGTAGGCATTTGTGACATAGCATGAAGAAAGGGGATGTTCACTTGAAGTCCTCTCATGACTTCAAGAAATTTTGAAAACTTCTCATTCAACTTCTTCTCTACAATTCTATGAGGAAACGGAATGGGGGGCTTATATACTCTCATAGGGGGCTTTTCTATTCTTTCTTCATCTCCCTCGTCTTTCTTTGTGGCTCCCTCATCACTCTTTTGCTCTTTTCTCTCAACTTCAACTACTTCATTTTCAAAATCATCCTCACTTCTCACCACAACTCCCTCATCTCTCTTTTGTGTCTCCTCCTCACTCATAACCGGGCCCTCATAACCCCTTCCCGATCTCAAAGTGATAGCCTTAGCTTGCTCCTTTGGGTTCACTACCGTTGAGCTTGGAAAGTGACCACTAGGATTGGAGGATGAACTTCCAACTTGTTGTGCAATTTGAGCCAATTGGCCCTCCATTATCTTATTATGTGCTTGGAGTTGTTGGATGTTTGCATTCATCTCCGCATTGTTCCTTATTTGTTGAGTCATGAAAGTTTCAAGAACGGACTCAAGGCTAGTCTTTTGAGGAGGTGGAGGAGGAGGAGCGGGTTGGTTATATTGTGATCTTTGGTGGTTTTGATCCCTTTGGTTGGGATGGCGGTATGGAGCTTGTTGGTTTTGTGATTGAGGTTGGTTGTAGTGGTTTTGAGGTTGGGTTTGATTTTGGTTGTAGTTATTTTGTGGGGGGCCTTGGTTGTATTGCTTCCATCCCGTGTTATGTTGGGGCTTCCAACTTTGATTGTGGGATTGGGAGTATTGTTCATTCCTTTGCCCAATTGCCGCCGCTTGCTCTTGATTCGTTGAGTTGCAATAAGAGGACAAGTGATCATTTCCTCCACAATTCTCACAAGACATGACTTGCGAGGAAGAGCTTGAGGTGTGAGGGTGGCTTGATCTAGCTTGTGAGCTAGCATATCAAACTTTGATGCAATAAGATCTATTGCACTAAGATCATGAATTCCGCCCTTCTTTGTTTGAGGTTGCCTTCTATCACCTCCATATGCATAATGCTTGGCCACTTCTTCAATCATCTTGTATGCATCGTCCACCGATAGCTTTTTGAGGCTACCACCGGCCCCGGAATCAAGGTTGGCCCTTGAAATAGGAGTAAGACCGTCATAGAAGCTTTGTACAATGATCCATGATGTAAAACCATGGTGGGGGCATTTCCTTGTGTAATCTTTGAAACGCTCCCAAGCTTCACTCAATGTTTCATCAATGTCTTGATTGAAATTGGTGATCTTTCTTCTTAGTTCGGCGGTCTTTTCCGGAGGACAATACTTTCCAAGAAAGGCTCTAGTGACTTCGTCCCATGTACTCAATGATCCCTCTTCAACCGTTCTCAACCAATGTTTTGCTTTATCACGGAGGGAGAATTGAAACATGTGCATACGGATGAACTCTTCCGAAATGTTGTTTTGCTTGATAGTTGTACACAACTCAAGAAAGTTGTCCAAATGAGCAAAAGGACACTCATGAGGACTACCTCCGAATTGATCGCTTTGAATCATACGGATGAGTTGAGGTGAAAGTTCAAAGTTGTTTGCATTCGTGGTGGGAAGACGTATGCCACTCCGAAGTTGGAATGCGTTGGGGTGGTCATAGTCTCTTAACAATGGTTGAGGAGGATTCTCTCCCATGTTATCTTCTTCGTTAGTTCCAAAAACCTCTTCCGGATCGGAATCCGAATATACAATGGAAAACTCGGGTGTGCCTTGCAAGAGTCTCCTCACGTTTCTCAAAGTCCTATTTAGCTCTGGATCAACGGGAATAAGCGGTGATTGCTTACTCTTTCGTGTCATGCAAAGTCAAACAAAGCTAAGAAAAACGTTAGCAATGACTATCGCAATTTAAACACACATAAACAAAAATTAAGGTAAGAAAACTACTATACATATACACACATCTAGTCTCATTCAACAATAATACATTCAATGTGACTTTGCCTCCCCGGCAACGGCGCCAAAACTTGGTAGGCCGTCGTCGAGCCTACCAAAGATAATAATTCCTTTCTTGGTCTCACTAACAATAGTAAGGGTAAGAAAGGGTCGAACCCAAGAGAGGCGTTGAATCAACCACCGAGTACTACCGTTTAAATAAGCTAAACGAATTCTAAATTGGGTTGGTTTTTAGTAACTTCTTCTAACACAATTCAACTAAGCTAAGAGGAGGTTAACAATATTAAGAGGAATCTAGGGCTTGGGTTATACCACTCAACTTCATCACAAATCATGGTTAGCATGCAACAATCAAGGTAAATTAATGGGATAAATTAGGGGAAGTCATCTAAAGCACCCAACTACTCTCTCAAGCTAGAGGGATTACTTGAATCATGAATACGACCTACTCTCGTGGTTACATAGCATAAAACAAGTGTTAAAGCATAATCACGATGACATAAACATTCCCTTGACCGGTAATCCCTATTCTCATGGCATTTCGGGTCAATCAAGCATAAGGGAGCTAACTCAAGTTCATCTCTCGATCCTTCGTTGAGAAAGCTTGGATAAATAGTTCTAGCAATGGCCATATACAAGAACTAAGCAATTAAACCACTTAAGCTCAACTAATTAACATCCCACAACAACCAAATTAGCACATGCAACAAGTAATTAGTGACTACATTGAGGGTTTTGCCCAAACCCTAGAATTTAGACTACTCACAATCCATGGGGGTTAAAGCAATTAAAGATTTCAAGCAATTCATGAACAAATTCAAACTAAGGATTAAGCTAATTAACAATCCAAAACATGTAAGAACTAGCAAATAATTAACAACAAAGTAAAGAGAAGTAGAAAAGATGAGTAAGAAATGGTTACTATGAAGCTTCAAGGTGAGCAACAATGGTGGATTTTGTCTTCTACAATGATTGAATTTGAATAATTCCAAGCTAATAATTGAGAACTAACTAATGATTTGAGAATTTAATGTTCTAAGACTACAAACTAAGAGAAAAGCTCTGAAAAACTGCCTCCCCCCGTCAAATGAGCTCTAAAGGGGTATTTATATGACCCCCAAATAAAAAGGACGGAGAAAACAAGGAAGGAGTTCGACTGCAGGTCTGCACGGACGTGCCAGATTTGGCACGGACGTGCAAGGCTAAGCACGGCCGTGCCAAGTTTGGCACGGACGTGCAGAGGGGGCAGAATTGAGGCAGAACGTACTGCTAAGAATCGAGCAGTTCCGCACGGACGTGCAGATATTGGCACGGACGTGCAGCTACATCTGCACGGACGTGCTTAATTTGGCACGTCCATGCAGGCCTTGGCAGAATGTTCTGAGTTTCTGGAGCACTTCTGCACGGACGTGCAAAGTCTGGCACGGTCGTGCACCCTCTTCTGCACGGACGTGCCAGATTAAGCACGGCCGTGCAGGCCTTGGCAGCTTGCTGAAGCTTTCTGGAACCTCCTGCACGGACGTGCAAGGTCTGGCACAGCCGTGCAGGGTCTTCTAAACCCCTTTTTTCATCTTTTCTTCTATAATGCTCCTTTCCTTGGCTTCTTTCATCCATCTTCTTGCTTCTAACCTCGGCTTTGTATCCATGGGCTCCATTTGGTCGTTCTTTTGAACCTAGAATCTCAACAAAAACACCAACAACCCGTGAAGCATAGGATACACAAGAATTGCATAATAATAGAGTAAAAAATGAACCAAAACGCAATTTATATCAAGTAAACTAGGTTCAAAACACCCTAAAATCGTATCAAATAGCAAGTTATCACCTTCTCACTTCGCCTATATAAGGGAGGATTGTCTTGAGTCATTTTCACACTTGAGAACTTTGAGAGAGACCATTCGGACCCCTGAACTTGCTCTGACATTTTGGACCTTTTCTGCCTACCGCCTGTTCTGACAAGCCGACTGCACAGGATTTTCAGCACTTCATCAATCGTCACTCGTTCAGGTAACTGTCGGTTCTCTTACTCTTAATTTTCTTTTTATTTTTTGAAATGGCACCACGGAAGCACACGACACGACCTAGGTTAGTGATCAGCTGGTCACCGGGGACGGCTGAATCTAGGACTAGGAGTGCCGCCTGCCCTTTTCCGGACCCATCTTTGCCCTTTATACAAAGTCCGACTGTATCTGTGTCTATGCAGAGCAAGATGGCCAGAACGAAAAAGACTGCTAGGATCTCAAATTCAGACGGCTCCTCCCACAGGGTGCCGCTTAGTGAAACATCTGACCAGGCGCCAGATGTGGAAGTGAAACAAGGCGGCCTGAAAGCCGGAAATTCTGAGGGAGGAGTCATAGTGACCCCTTCCCATTTAACAGTTAACAATTCTGCTCCTTTTCAAAGAGAGGAGGCGAGCCCCTCCGGGAGAGGGGAGGAGTCGTCCTCTTCGGACTCGTCAGAGGACGATTCCGAGTCAAGCTATTCTGGCCATGCTTCTTTGGACACAGAAGAGAAAAACAGCCGCCTGCAAGAGGCGAGAATTTCTCACGCAGTTGAGAAGGGGGACGATTGGGCGGAGCCATCCGCCTCTTACCGAGAGCTAAATACCCCCTACTACTGCACGGTACCTCGGGGCCGGATCACAGCCATGCAAGAGAAAGTGGAGAGCTTTATTGCAAACCACACCATGGGCCCCGACTTTCTAGTGTTTGTGCCGGATCCAGAAGACACAGTCGTCTGGCCGGCTGGTTCGAGTTATGATAGCGCCTGCTTTGGCTGCTACGAGGCGGCCATCAAGGCAGGGCTGCGCTTCCCATTACATCCGGCTGTTCAGCGGATCTTGGATGGGTATGAGTTGGGGTTATGGCAGTTAGCCCCAAACTCCTGGGTAAAGGTACTCGGCTATGTGGCCGGGTGCGAACTGCACGGGGTGGAGCCGAGCTTCGAGGCTTTCGCCCATATGAACTATCTCAGCCGGACCCCTAAGACAGGCGGTACCGGCTGGTATCAATTGACAAGCCACAGGGGCTACCTCATGACGAGAGGTAAAGCAAACAAGTGGAAGGACTGGCGGAGCACCTTCCTCATCATTGAGAGTTCAGACATTGAGCTGAACAAGCGCTTCAATAGGTGGAACAAGAATCCGCCCCTTCTTGCAGGCGGCCGTAGCATGCCGCCTGTTCCCCCCAAGGCTAAGAAAGAGATCCTTGATAAAGGACTCTTTAAAGTAGAGTCGAGGGTCGACTCTACTTCAGGGGTACGAGAGCAAGTACCCCTGCACTGCGTCCCGAGATTCAAATGGCTCTACGACGAGTACTTTTTGGCCGCCTGTGGCCTCAGCAGTCGGTGCTCAAGAGGTAGTCGACCTGTCGAATACTCTGTTGTTCCATACATTTCTTGTTATGACTTTTATTAACTTTGCTGTTTGTTTTTGCAGCTGACGCCATGAGCAAAATCACCGCCTCCAAGACTGCGGCGGCCATGTTGCGGGCCTCCATCATGCAACAAGCTTCAACCGACTCCCCAAGAAGGGGGCACCCTTGGTGAGCTCCGAACCTTTCACCCTCTTTTTGGAGTTGTGTTTATGCATATACTGACTTTTTTTTTTCTTCTTTTTTAGACGGGTGCTCCAAGAGCTTCATCTTCCCAACAGCCGGACCCCAAGGCCTGGAGGACGACTGTTGGGAGCTCTCCTGGTTCTGCCAGGAAACATGTGGCGGCTGAGAAACAGCCGACCACTTCTTCTAAAACTCCAACTGGGTCGCCTAGAAGTATGAAGTTGTCCTTGTAAATTTTAGACTTGCTCCCTTTTTTACTAGGTCTAACCCGTTTGTTTATGCTTGATGCAGCCGGCCCTCAGGAGCCTGACTTGGTAGAGATGGCCAAGTCTATGATTAGGGCAGTTCCTCCAGCTGAAAGGGAGGCGGTCAGGGGTGTCGGCACCCTTGACCTAGACGGGATTGCAGGGGTCCTTGCTGAGGTATACTTAGCATATTTTTGAGTATTTGAATTTCGGGACGCCTGTTTTCTTTTTTGTTTGGAAACTGACGCCTGTTTCTTTTTACTTAGGCCCTGCTCCGAGTGAACAGCCTTCGCAAGCCGCTTGACCGGAAGAACAAAGAGGTAAAGGCAGCAAAAGCTATGGCCGCCTCCAACTGTGATAAGGCAATGTTTCAAATTGCCCAAAATGAAGTTCTGACCATTGATATTCTTTATTATCAGGCGCAGGCTACCGCCACTGTTCGGGATCAGTTAGAGGCGGCCCAGAAGAGGAATGGCGAGCTGGAGGCGACCATCACCGATCTCAAGGCCGAGCTGAAACCTCTTCGCCTAAAAATGTACTCATACGAAGCCTTGGAGAAATCCTTGGCCAACGTAAAGGAACGCCTGGTGACCCAGGAGAAGAGTCTTACTCAGGAGCTCTCGGAAAAGGCCGAGCAAGAGAAGAAAGAGCTGGTCCGGGAGATGATGGAAGACTCCGCTCAAATCCAACGCATGACTTGGGGCCGCCTCTTCCCTAATGCCGACTTTTCCTCATGGGAAAAAACGTACCGCCAGTGTTCTGATACATATAATCAAGAGATCCTGGCGGCTGCTGAGGAAGAGGCGTTGGAGGAAGCGTTGGAGGAGGAGGAGTCGGTAGTGGCGCTTGTGCCGCTTGGGGGTAAGGCATCAAAAAAGGATGCAGCTGAAGCCGAGTCCAGCAAGAAGAGTGCTGACCAGGCGGCAGCTGCTAATATTGA